GTAAACTCATACCATGTTAGTGGTCTGCAAAACTTGGCCAACCACCTATGACACTATAAGGCACTGCTCTCTAAATGGAAAGAGGCTAGCTGAACCTGCTAGTTTGGCACAATATTTTGAAATTTAAAATATTATTTTTCCTTGTAAATCCATCCAGCTAGATCATCTCCATTAAATTTTAGAGAAGACAACTTGAGATTGTGGTGTTAATAGTTATTAATAGGGTGAGGATGAGTGGTATGTTGGTGTAAAGGCTTTTCTAATAGTTATTATTATTAATAGGGTGAGTGGTATGTTGGTGTAAAGGCTTTTCATTACTAAAGGGGTTGATTTTAGAAGAACTAGTGTTTACGTTAAGGGTAGTATGAAAAGCTTTAAGTTCTATCAATACCATTTGTAAAGTAGTATTAACCTGATTAAAGCTCGACTCATGTCCAATTAGGATTTCATTGACTTTATTGTAAAATTTTGCGTTCGATTTACCGTGAGTATCCATGGTCGAAATCAAGAATAGCCAGGGATAACCAGGCTCTGATATTAATTTATAGAAGAAAAAGTATAATAGAGAAGAAGTCTGTAATTAGGGTTAATTCCAGTTCCCTTCTATTAAAAATAACTTTGACATTTATAGCCATATACTTCATAACAGAATTAACAAACAAATAGGAAGGAGTTACAACTATAATTAGGGTTAATTCCAGTTCCTTTCTATTAAAAATAACTTTGATATTTATAGTCGTATACTTCATAACAGAATTAACAAACAAATAGGAAAGAGTTACAACACTATCCATGTCTAACAATTAACTAACTTATCCATGTTCCTGTAGCTCCTTAAAGTAGTGCAGTCATTACTTGTTCCTACAAGATCACAATTTGTTGATGCAGTCCCGCAACTACCTAAAGTAGTACAGTTATTACTTGTTCCTATAACATGATCACTACTTGTTGTTGTAGTCTTGCAGCATAATCTCCTAGCCACGTTCTTGTGATAATGGATGTGTCAATTTTTTAGATTTGAAATTTGCACAAACTCACATTATCTTATATTTAATTTTTATTAAATAAATGATGATAATTTTTATTAAATAAATAGAAATGATGAGATTTGAACTTGTGAGTTCTTGATCATTAAGGCTCTAATATAATATTAAAGAATCAATTTAACTTTATAATTTAAACTATTAATTAAATTTCAAATTTAATTTATATTATTTTTTAATAATAAAAGACTCCAGAATACTCCTCATCATTAAGAACTTAGATAAAAAATTTGAAACTATAAGATGCTAAGCATAATTGTTCTTAAGGTGAAGGTCTTGGGAACCCTTTTTCACTCAACATAAAGCTAAACGAGATATTGTCAATATCATATAATTAACATCTTATCAACGATGATTTGTTTAGAGGTTACCAATAACTTTCTTTTACACAATGCGCGTTAACACGTCCACAAACAAGCGTGAAAACCATCACACTCCCCCGCACGCGACGTTGGAGTTTCTTCCGATCAATTCAAGCTTACCAAGTCGAGCCCGCCGCATGCCACGCCTTCTATAATTGGCAACATTACATGGTTATAGGGCATCAACGAACACACCATAGCGCCATTCCATCCTTGCTATTAGCCAGTGATACAAGGCAATAACGCCTCCATGCATCTGCACTGGATCGTGGGAGGTGCATGCAAGAAGAACAATATCTTTTTTGTAATAAAAAATAATATAAATTATATTTAATAATTAAAAATTTTAAATTAAAAAAATCCTTTAATATAATATTAAAAATTTTTAACTAAACAATAATGAGTTTGACTTAATTAAAACTAACTTTTACTTAAAAAAACATATTAAATAATAATATAAATTATATTTTAAGACTTCACTTAGCAATTTAAATTTTTAAATTAAAAAATTATTTAATGTTATATTATAATTTTTTTAATCAAGTAATTACATATTTAAAATCTTATTATTTTTTTATTTTATTTGATAAAAATTAAATATAAAATATATAAAATAAGTCATACAAATTTTAAATTTAAAAAAAAATTATTTAAAAAATAATATAAATTATATTTTAAAATTATAACTAATAATTTAAGTTACGGAGAAAATAGCTTGGGACCAATTTTCTTTGAACTGTCTTGGTGACTCTGCCGACAGGATACAATTTGTTTTTCATGATACATATAGTGCATGAATGAATTTTATTATGAATGTATTGTAATTAATTATTGTACATATATCATAATTAATCACATGGTAATTAAGAAAAATTACAACTTTCTCTATGAAACTCCAATAAAAGGGTTTTTTAGAAATGCGGTTCAACCTGTATTTCTAAAAAATTAAATTTTTTTATTAAAATTTAATGTAGTTTGTATGTTTTGGATTATTTTGATGTGTAAATATTAAAAATTTTTTTTAAAAAATAAAAAAAAATCATTAACATATATTTCAATATGAAAAGTTATTTGAAAAGAAATCGCTACCATACTGCCAAACACACTAAAAATCAAGTTTTACATAGTTGAAAAGCTAATAAAAAACACTTTCTATAAATATAAATTTTATTTGATGAGTAAACACTTTTCAAATAATTTATATGATAAAGAATTCAAGATTATCCTAAAAATAGGGTTTGAACCTATTTTTCACACAAAAAACATCATAAAAACATAGAAAAAAAATTCTAAAATGTTCATATGAATACAAAAACAACCTAAACAGGCTTTGATTATACTGTAGGATTACAAAGAGAACTTGATATACCTTTCAAACTCCTATTAGAAAATGACCAAGAACTTCACAAGGTTGTTTGGCTTATCAAAGAATCATTAATTAGCGGTTGTTTTGATTGCTCAAATCAAACCAACTTATCACCATTCAAGAATCTTAATCAAGGGCTTGTCCTAGCGGTGAAAGGGGCTTGTCTCCTTCCACTGCACCTGGGTTCGAGCCCTGGCGTGCACGCCTGTCACCCCCGCGGTGCCTTACATGCCTACTGGGTTTGCAGGGTATTCAGTGGGCCGTGGGGATTAGTCGTGGTGCGCGCAAGCTGGCCCGGACACCCCACGTAAATCAAAAAAAAAAAAAAAAGAATCTTAATCAAGGATTTTTATTATTTAAAAATATCAAAATTAAAAAAAAAATATATATATATATATATAATAATTAATCATATCTTTCTAGTATTAGTATATGTGAGATTCTAAGCTCCGATTTTTTATTTTTTTTGTTTTAATATATTTTTTGTATTTCAGTTTTATTATTAGCCAAATTATTTTTTATAAATTCTAAGAATTTAATGTAACTTTTATTAGCACACATGGCATGATTTAGAAATCTTAGTTAGATCAACGGATGATAGTGATTCAAAACTAACGAATTTGTATATCAGAATCGGATGGAGAGAATCAGTAAGTACCTAGGGTTTTAGTAAAAAGATTGCTGTCGATCAAAAATCATGTAGAGGGATCAATATGTCTAAAAGATGAAAGTAAAAGGGCATTTAGTGACTTTCAGCCCATCTATAACCTATGTTTTATTCAAGTAATGATGAATATCAAGAAAATATGTAACAAAGTCCAAAAATATACTTATATAGTTAAATTAGTGGGGCCTATAAGTAGGTCCTATTCTAAGATTATGATACAATTTTTCATGTATATTATTTGACTTTTTTTTACGAATTTGTATATCAGAATCGGATGGAGAGAATCAGTAAGTACCTAGGGTTTTAGTAAAAAGATTGCTGTCGATCAAAAATCATGTAGAGGGATCAATATGTCTAAAAAATGAAAGTAAAAGGGCATTTAGTGACTTTCAGCCCATCTATAACCTATGTTTTCTTCAAGTAATGATGAACATCAAGAAAATATGTAACAAAGTCCAAAAATATACTTGTATAGTTAAATTAGTGGGGCCTATAAGTAGGTCCTATTCTAAGATTATGATACAATTTTTCATGTATATTATTTGACTTTTTTTTATCATATCCTTTTTTAATGTTTAGCATCCCTAAATTATATCCTTTTTTAATGTTTAGCATCCCTAATTTTGTACTGTGGGCATGAGAAAACATTCAACTAAATAATGATTAATTTTGACGGTTTAAATATTATAAAAGCTTGAGTTATTGCCCTTGTCGTTTAATTTATTTTTAAAGTATTTTTTATTTTAAAAAATATTAATTTGATTTAGTTTTTATAGTTTTTTATAATTTTATTATGCTAATATCATAAATAAATTTAAAATATTTTTTATTAAAAAATATTTTAAACCAGAGACACGTTAAATCAACAAGATAATCATATATAAATTGAGTGTGTAAATTATAGTTATAAAAACTTTCGTTTGAGTTTCTCTGTTTATTTTTTTTATTTGAATTCTTAATACTTAAAAAAAAATTATCTATCAATAGACATCTATCCAATAAGATGAAAGTTCAATCACTATAAGAATATATTTTATAAAAAAATCACAATCAAACCGGAGTTAAGTCAAGATTCAACTGAAATGAAATGATGGATTATATGATTATTAAATTAAGACCAAATTAGCGTATATAATACTTATTTTAATAACTTAAAATTAAATAAATTCAATTCAGAAGTTTTCTCTCTCACTCTCTCTTTTTAATGAAAAAGATATTATTTCTTTATTTTGTTTTTCTTTTAAAAAACCCTTAACCAAATAATAGTTTAATCATATCGAATTCATACAAATTAATGCATTGGCTTGGTTTTATAATTAAGAAAGCTCTCCTTTAGTTAATAAAGAAAAAAAAAAAAAACAACCCTAACGGTTATAACTGTTTTTCATGCTTCTCCCTCGCCATTCTACGGCTCACAAAAGAAACATAACTTGAAGAAGAAGAAGAAATGAAGGCAAGTAACCGAAAAACATGCAAAATCGACAAATCCCCACGAAAAACTAAAAGAAAAACAACACAGAAAATTGCTCTGCAAAAACTTATCAATCTCTTTTGCCTTGGTAATGGCCTTGGATTGGCATTTCCATCCTTTTCTTTTGCTCTTCATCATTTTTACCCTCCAATTTTCATTGACATCTTCAGTATCTGAATCTGAATCTTTGATCAGGCTTAAAAAATCATTTACCAATGCTGGTGCTATTAGTTCTTGGCTGTCAGGCTCCGTCCCTTGCAATAAACAAACTCATTGGCATGGAGTTGTTTGTTTCAATGGAATTGTCACGGGTCTTCAGCTCGAGAACATGGGCTTATCAGGAACCATTGATGTCGAGGCATTGGCTAATATGCAGGGACTCAGAAGCGTAAGCTTTGCTTATAATTATTTTACAGGTAAAATTCCTGCACTCAATCGTTTAGGCAATTTAAAGGCTATATACTTGAGAGGGAACCAGTTTTCCGGTGAGATTCCCTCAGACTTCTTCTTTAAGATGAAGTCGCTGAAGAAGGTTTGGATTTCGGATAACAACTTTTCTGGAGGAATTCCATCATCATTGGCTGAGTTGTCTCGGCTTGGCGAATTACATCTAGAGAACAATCGATTTAGTGGGACTATTCCATCTATCGATCAACCAACCTTGATGTCATTTAATGTATCAAACAATAAGCTGGATGGGGAAATCCCACCTAATTTAGCAAGATTCAATTTTAGTTCCTTTAGAGGAAATGATGGTCTTTGCGGAGAAAAAATTGGTAAAGGGTGTGAATTGCAAGGATCATCAGAACCACCTACCGATGTTGGGGTAGATGCCAATATGATGGTTAGCGATAATAAAAGAAACAGCGTTACGAAGACAGTCGCAGGGTTTGTAACTCTGGCTGTGTTGCTTGTTTCAATAATAGCCGTGGTTATCTTTAGAATGAGGCGAAGGGACAAGGATTTTGATGCGATTGAAAATAGAAGTAGTGGTGATGCAGCAGCACTTGAGGTGCAAGTTTCGTTGTCGAATAGACCGAAGGAAATGGAAGTTGCCAAAAAGATGGGATCAGGCCGCAAAGGATCTAATCATGGCAGGGGTGTTGTAGGTGAATTAGTTATTGTGAACAATGAAAAGAGCGTATTTGGGCTACCAGATTTGATGAAAGCTTCAGCAGAAGTGCTTGGAAATGGAGTATTGGGGTCTTCTTATAAAACGCAGATGGCTAACGGAGTTGTGGTGGTGGTCAAGAGAGTGAGAGAGATGAATACGTTGTCCAAAAGTCAATTTAATGCAGAAATCAGAAAGCTTGGAAGACTGCATCATCCTAATATTTTGACACCATTGGCTTTTCATTATCGACCGGATGAGAAGCTGTTGATCTATGATTTCGTGCCCAAAGGCAGTCTGCTTTATTTGTTGCACGGTATGGCTTGTTAATCTCATGTTTAGTTTTTCTCAACATTCATGTATCTTCTTAACACTACGTTTCCTCAGGTGATCGAGGACCATCACATGCTGAGCTCAGTTGGTCTGTTCGTCTCAAGATTGTTCAAGGAATTGCAAATGGTTTGGGCTATCTTCATACAGAACTTGCTCCCTCTAACTTGCCTCATGGCAATCTCAAATCAAGCAATGTCTTTCTCAGCAATGATAACGAGCCAATACTTTCAGAGTTTGGATTAAGTCCCCTGATTAGCCCCCCAACGTTGGCTCAAGCATTGTTTGGTTATGAAGCCCCAGAAGCAGCGGAATTTGGCGTATCACCAAAGAGCGACGTGTACTGTCTAGGAATAATCATTCTTGAAATCCTTTCAGGAAAAATTCCTTCTCAATATCTCAACAATGCCAGGGGAGGGACTGATGTAGTCCAATGGGTGGAATCTGCAATTTCCGATGGGAGAGAAACTGATTTTCTTGATCCTGAAATTGCAAGCTCTAAAAACTCACTTTGCCAGATGAAGCAGCTCCTAGGCATTGGAGCTGCTTGTGTTAAAAGAAATCCTGAGCAACGGTTAGACATCACACAAGCTATTCAACTGATACAGGAGATAAAATTGGAAGATGGTGACTCTGCGGGCAGGACAACGCAAGTTTTACCATCACTTCATGATGGATATGCAGATGCGTCATAGACCAGTGTGTCTGATACTCAAGGAGTCATGGATCAGGTAGCTCTAAGGATTGAAGTAAAAACCTGAGTCGTGATCGTTTTTCTTTCCCGGCTTGTAATTAGATACTCCTAAGCAGACACATCAAATTCTGCTAAACGGAACTCTACTCAAGAAGAGAAATCAGGTCCACTTCAAATTAGGACAGTAAATTTCAGCAGCATCTGCATCGGAAACGGGACAACATTCTCGGAGGTTTTGGAACCAGAAGGAAATGTGAATGGGAAGAGACAACGCAAATGCCTTAGACTCGTAACTTAATCACATAATGTGTTAGAACTTTTTCTTATTTTATTTTTTGGCCTCGGAGTGTTCCTTTGAACTGTCTGACTTGCTCTTAGATATTAGCTTTCGTGTAGTGTTTTTTACTTCAAGAACTTGGTGCGTGTGTGTGTGTGTGTAGCTGAACGGACAGCCCTTTCTGCTGCTGGACAGTCCCTGTCTCAAGAGGACTACCCTATCCATTAAGTTTTAGGCCTTCGCCCAACAAGAAACCATGTACCGAATCTCAATTTAGTGCAAATGCCCACTGCAGATTTGTTGGGCTGTACACTTAGTGGCGATTGCAATGGAGCTATCTATATATTATGTTTTTCATTGAGGTAGTAGTGAAAGAGTGAGAAGACATCATTGAATGTTTTCACATGATGGGGTGATTTGTTGGAGATTTGGGGGAGATAGATTACCTGTGACAAGAAGATCAGTTACTCTCTTATAAATTGACATGTGTCAGCCATGAAAAAACTTTTAGGTGAGGTATGAAACTTGAACGTACTAGTCTTGGCTCAGTTTTCTACGAATAACACCATTCATAAAATTATAAAAACTTCATATTACATTTGGTCTTTCCATGGATATATTTTAGGCCACGGTGTATGAGCTTGTCATTCCATGCTCTCCTCCAAAAAATAAGATCCTATTATGCTTAATTGAGTAAATTATAGGAGGGAATGAAAATATAACAATAAAAACGAGAAAGTAGAAGAATGCATATGATAATGGTTCTGTATTCTTATATAGATTTATATTATTAGATATTTATATAATTATAAAAAATAATTACTTTATCATGTTGGTTAATCTAAAAAATAAGTTGTAAGTTGATGTGTTTTATTGTGTTAGTAATGGAAAATATTAGTGTTTACATGTAATTGGGTATAAAAGTTTGCACCGTGCTAACAAGACATACACAATACTTCCTATTGGAGGCAGCTATCAGAGAAAAAAACCAGACCTCTTTGAAGGTCATAACAATGCATTGTGATGTGTGCTATATTAGAGTGTTTAGAAATACGGGCTAATTTATATTTAAAAAAAAAATTAATTTTTTATATTTTAAATTATTTTAAAATATCAATTTTAAAAATAATTATAACTATATTTTCAAATATGCTTGCTTCTTTCTCCACGCCAACGGGCATGGCATCAAAAATTGTTATGCCCTAAAAAAAAAGGAGGATAGAAAAACTAAATCATCTCTGGCGAGCTGTCTTTTGTATTCATGATTGTAGAATGAAAACGTGAGGGCCGTCATGAGCCTGCTGGGGCTTGAAATTGGCCCAAATGATCGAACAGGATAGGTGCTGATGCTCTCACACTGCATTGATAAGTATTTAGTAAAAAGCCTATGAACCACTACGATCTATCGTATGAAACGATCCTAGTTTCATGTGGTGTCATCTACATCTTCTTGCTGATGAATTGAGTCTCGACTAGACATTTTTCAAATCTCTTATTCTCCCCCTTTTCATCTTGTTCCTTGCGAGTAGGTAGATGCAGTAGATGCAACCCTTTTCACCTCAATTATGTTAAAATGATTGACCGAATCAGCTCGTTCTTAAATCAAGGTGAAATCATCACCACCACAAAAAAACAGAGGGTTCAGTGATTCACCGAATGAAAAAAAGTGTACGGGTTGTAGCATTGTAATCATGCCTTTTCTCTTCTCAGGAAATGTAACGAAGCTTGTTTTCTAGGGTGATCCTGTTTTTTCTAAGAGATTCTTTAAACATTATCAAAGCAGCAAGTTTGTCTTCGCACATTTTTTATACATAGCTTTCACCAAGGGTTTTTTTTATATCTTCATCTTTTTATGAACACTGAATCGATGAAATTACGCTTAAAGTTATATATATATATATATATATATATATAGTCGTGCAGGGGAATTTTTATATTTTTATTCCAGTTTTTTTTTATAATTGATTTGGAAGAAGAGAAATTAAATTTTTTAATTAATATAAAATATTATTTAAGTAAAAAAGGAGGTATGTGGAAGATCTCGTAATATTTATGGCAACGGATTTCGGTGGCTTGCAAAGTGGCAACGAAATCTTCTCAGCAACCCTTCATCCTTAGACAGTACATGTAGCTACGTTATTTTTGGTTTGATATCAGTGGTCTTTTTTTTTTTGTCTTTTTCTCTCTTTCTTGATAACTGTGTTGACATTTTAAATTTTCTCAGCAGCTCTTTAGTTAGTTTTTCCTTTAGATTTCGTTGATGTTATTTTTATTAGTATTTGTTTTATTTAAAATAATTTAAAAAATTATATTTTTTTAATTATATTTTTTTTAATTTTTTTCAATAATTAAATTTGGTATCCATTCTTTTGATTACTATTTTTAATTTAATATAATTTTTAAAAAAATTTTACAATTCCATCCTTCTTCAATACTTTTCTTCTTATTTGTAGATTTATATATATTTTTTTAATTTCATTTTTTAATATTATTTAGATTTATATATTTTTTTTAATTTCATATTTTAATATTAAATTTATTAAAATTGAGTGTTTTAGTTGAGCCCAATCTAAAATTTTATATGTTGTGAATTTAGAAAATCAACACAAATTTAAAATATTTATCAAAGTTTACTTGATTGTTTCTTATTTCTAAAACAATGTCGAATGATTACGTTACTTTTAAAAATAAAAATAATTTAATATTTTAATAAATATAAATAAAAATTAAAAAATAAAAATAATGATGTGCCCTTCCACGTGAGGTAGTGACTTCTTCTAGAGGCTTTTATTCATTTATTATTTTTTTATTTTATTTTTTAATATTATTTATTTTAAAAAAAGGACTTCATGATTTTTTTAATTTTATTTCAATTCGGTTACAATCTTAGGACTTTGAAAACTAATTTGGTCGGTTAATTTGAGTATTTTTTTTTAGTTTTTTTATATTTATTTTTGATTTCATTATTTAAATTTGTATTCTTTTCTAGATTAAACTTTATTATTTTATTTATTTTTTAGATTATTTTATTTATATGATTTGACTTGTGAGATTTTATGGGGTTTATAATTGTTTAATTATTTTAGTTTTTTCTGTTGGCTGATTTTATTTCTATTTTAATTTTTTATATTTGAATTATTAGAGATTGACCACTATTATTATTTTTAATTTTTTTTATGAGTTTGGCTTAACCTTATTACAAGGATTGTGAATTTCACATGTTAGCTGAGATTAATTTAATACGCCTTATCTCGTTATTGTTTTATCTTTAACATCGGGTCACTCTTTTCCTCGTGGTTAACACTTTTCTTTTAATACTCGATTTATTTGTTACGATAGCTTAATTAACTTGGATTAAAAAAAAAATACACACACACTCACACTAACAATATTTAAACATTGTTTTTATATATATATTTTTTAAAAAAATCTGGTCTGCAGGAAACGAGTACCGTCTAGCTAGTCAGATACCACATCCATTCGTATAAAAGCCAAAACTTTGTTTTATATATATATATATATATATAGCTCCTGGAATTGGCTGGCCAGCAATATCATACATTTATAATTAGCATAACGAAGATCTTGAGCTCCTCTTTTTATAAGTGAGCCTGCAGCAGCGCCACTCGTGCAACTCCCGTTTAAAACTATTATCTTCTGATCTAGATCACTTGTTATTTATTAGCAAGTCATGCACAGAAGACTGCATAATCAGAAAATCATAAAAACAGAATGTGCTCTTGCTGCCGGTTTTGTTAGGAGGCCTGCACTCTTTTTATACAATATAATGCAAGCCATAAGTGTACGTGCGTGCATGAATGTCGGGCTTAATTACTTCATCCATTAGTTTCATAGTTAGGTTTTCTTTTTTGTTTTTTTGGAGATGGATTATTTGGTTTTAAGTTCTTAGAGAGTAAGGTGCAGGCAGCACATGAAGCCATTGTTTCTCTCCAAAACCAGCTGTGCTCTCAATTTCGGTGTTTGTCTTTTAAACTGTAGTGTGATGAGGCAATCAAGGACCAATGCCATAGACAGCTCTCAATCAAATGGTTGACGAGGAGAAGTTTGCCCCCTTCTAAGCCTTTATGAGGTGGAGATCTCGACATTTGCACCCAAAAAAACTGGTGAATAATCTTGTCCGCGGTGTCCCACAAATCAATCTGTGCAAACATATGCCTAGACTTCCCATATTATAATTATATTATAATTGCGGTGAATCACTGTAGTCACACCGCCACATAGTATTCATTTAAGTATTATTTTGTAATTTTTAAAATTTAATTATTTAACAATTTAGTTTTTAATTTTTTTTTAATTTTATCTTTTAATATTATGTTGTTATATTTTATTATTTTTATTTTTATTTCTTTGATAGATTATATACTGGTTTCATATATTTAATTTTTTTTCATTATTATTTTAACATTAAAGTGATGTGTCATAATTTACTTCAATTTAATAATTTAGGTGATAAGTTTAATAGGTTATTTCATATTGATTCGGGTAAGGTTTTTTTATTATCTTTTCTAATTAATTTTTTTTAATTTCATCATTTAACATTGAATTTTAATTTGCTTTCTATGAGTTTATATAGAACTTATAACCTAAATCGCGAATTTGACAGGTTGATCTAAGTTGACTTATTATTATTTTTCGTCCTGATTTAATTGATTTTTTTTTAATTTCACCCTCCAATAACTCAATTTTCTTCTTTATTTATTTAG